TCTGAAAATATGCTTCAAATTTTAAAATATGGCTCTTAATGTTTCAAAAGTTAATATATTTGGTGACTTCAATAGCAAATAAAGATAATGTAAGCAAGAAAATTGTTTATAATTCAGAGGTGGCTGAGAATATCTTGTGAAAAGGTTTACAATAACCAATTTCCATGGTAATTTTTTGAGATGACTGGATGAGCAAGACTAATATGATTTGTATAGTTTAGAAAGAGCTGGATAGTAGGGGCTTGTATCACTGACAAACATTGGGTGTTTATGTTAGGGGTTAAAAGATGGGTCGAATGCTTGCAGACGGCAATTCGTCTGCTATTCTAGAGAGATATTTTCATAAAGGATTTAAGTTGTCAGTTATATCAACTTTAAGGGTATCTAATTTAGTAACTTTAGATGTTATATTTGGGATTGAGTTTTTTTATTGTGATTTCTAAGTATGACAATTACCCTTTAGCCTTATTTCATATCTAAAGTTATTTCTTAAACAAAGTAGATTTGTTCTATATTAGATTGAAATAGATGAAAGACTTCGAAGCTCTTCGGAGTGGATCACGGTGGCTAGGTGGGTAAGACGCTGGCTCGCTATCCTGGAAGTCGGTTTTCGATCCCTGCATTGGCCGAGAATGTTCATCCAGATTTTCCAGCGTGGTTTCCCCTTGTCAGTAATGCAGGACAGAGGGCCTGACAAGCACGGCTGTCTAGTCATTGGCGTGCACGTAAAATATCCCTTGACAGTTGGAATTCTATATGAAAGTAGGCCGTAGTGCCGCTATCCGGGATAAATTTCCCCCATAGCACACTGTATGGCGTATGCCCGTCTTCATTAGTCGAGTTCGGAGCATTTCATTTCATTTCGAAGCTCTTCGGATAAGGTGTTAGAAGGAATATTTAGGGATGTTCTGGAATATTCAAGCATTCTCATCAATAAATTTTTCTACCTTAAAGAAATCTAATAAGGATGTTTGAAGGTTTTGATCTTATTATATTATATTAACAATATAATATTTAATTACAAGTTCTTCGGAAGAGGTGTTCGAGGGAATAATCATTGAATAGTTATCAAAGTGAGAGAGAGATGGGATTTAACGTCCACTCGACACAAACTAGGTCATTTCGGGACTAACACATGTATTAATAATATCAATAAAAAAGACAAATCAGTGCCAGACAAAATGACAGGCATCAGAGGTTTAGTGTCTGAAAAAGCCTGAATCGGTGCCTGATATTGTCAGTGACAGGTGCCTTATAGTCCAGGAGCTAATGACAAAATAATATGGTCATCAGTTACAAAAGGTTTGAACACCCAAATTCGTAGCAGGTGTCCGTACGAGTAAAAATCAGTTGGTCAGATCGGGCACTGGTGGGGCGTATAGCTGCAGCAGCACCTTAAAGTAGGCCTAAAATTAAGTCATAAGTTACATGGCTGAAACTTTGTAGGGACAATGGTATCCATAGTCGGAGTAAATATTTCACAAATCTTACCAAAATTTCCGGGGCTTTCCCCAAGTCAGACCACACCCAATATCGCCTCGTGGGGCTAATAATATGGTCATCAGTTACATGGCTGAAACTTACCAGAAACAAAGATCCACACTTGGTAAATACAATTTTCAAAAATCTAACCAAAAATTTGGGGGCTTTCCCCAAGACAGATCGCTCTAAAGTATGTCCGACCACACCCTAAAAATGGGGCTTTTTATATGGTCACAAGTTACATGGCTGAAACTTACTGGAAACAAAGATCCATACTTGGAAAACATATTTTTCAAAAATCTAACCAAAAATTTGGGGGCTTTCCCCAAGACAGATCGCTCTAAAGTATGTCCGACCACACCCTAAAAATGGGGCTTTTTATATGGTCACAAGTTACATGGCTGAAACTTACTGGAAACAAAGATCCATACTTGGAAAACATATTTTTCAAAAATCTAACCAAAAATGTTGGGGCTTTCGTCAAGTCAGATGGTCCTAAAGCCCACCTGGCCACGGCCTAAAAATGGGACTTTTTATATGGTCATCAGTTAAATGGCTGCAACTTACCAGAAATATTGTTCCATGCATGGAAAATGTATTTTTCGAAAATCTAACCATTAATGTGGGGCTTTCCCCAAGTCAGAAGGGCCTTAAAATTGCAGCTCCACCCACCCCCTCTATATAAATCATCTAAACATATTTACATTTAAAATTAAAAAACAGTGTAGTTTTATGGTTTATAACTTGGATCTGGCAGTTCCCATGGTAATCATTAGAACAGTTTATCTCTGTGCCACCAACAATGAACTTTTTTATCTCATAATATAAATGAGAGAGAGACAGAGAGAGAGAGAAATGAGGTTTAACATCCACTCGACACAAACTAGGTAATTTCGGGACAAACATATATGGTTTAATTTTATGTCAATAATTCGCTTGCGCGTAGGGGTCTTTAGTAGTGGGAGGAAATCTGAGGACCCGGAGAAAACCCACGAGGTTGGCGAGCGACCCTACTCCTTATGATACAACACGCACACGTTAACTGTTCGGCCATCCAGCTCCCCTGTACAGTCCCTGGACTGTAGTGATGCAGACAACAGATTTACTCAAATGAAAAAGATAGGTTACCAGGCAACGAAAGATACGCCCACAGCAGCTAAATCATCCGGGCAGTCACATATTTTTACTTTTTTTTAGTAATGAAACAATTATAATACACTAATATCCGATTAAGAGTAACAACTCATCAATTAATTATTAGAAAATCATTAAAATTTGTTTGGTTTGAATGAAGTTCTGCCCCATGCTAACGTTTAGTATACGAAACATTTAATATCATGGATTTAGCTGTTCAAGTTATCAAAATTCATTGAAAATCAATATACTTGTTCATCTCAAGACCTTAAACTGAAGCCAATCCGATGATAACTTTAGCCTCTAGAAAGTCACAAGATTTTTCAAAGTGATCAAGGGTCATAACTTTGGCAGTAATTATCAGAAATGTTGAAAATCAATAGGATTCTTCGTCTCATGACCTCAAATAATGCGCGTAAATTTGAAGTCAATTCGATATCATCTTTAGCTTCTAGAGCATCTACAAGATATTTTGAAGTGATCAAGGGCCATAACTCTGGCAATAATTATCAGAAATTGCTGAAAATCAATAGGCTTCTTTGTCTCATGACCTTAAACAATGTGTATAAATTTAATGTTAATCGGATATTTACTTTGGCCTCTAGAGCGTCCATAAGCAATTGTGGACGCCGGACCGACGAATGGGCGGACGGACGGGGTGACACAATTGAATATATGACCACATTTCAATGTAGGCGTTTAAAAAACAAACTAAGAATAAGGGGGAATATTTCCCAAAAGTTATATAAAGCCAGTACGAGTCATGATCGACTATATGCTACAAGAAATATGTAGGCACATTGAAGGTATTAACGGCTCTTTATAAATCATATTTCGTTTCATGTTTTTTAATAGTACAAAATTTTGTTTTCTTTTCTTTACTACACTGGAAGAGTTGTTATGTAACAGGCGTTCTAGTTGATGTGAGAAATTAGCTAATGAAACGGTCTGTTACGGCGAGTTCTTGGCGTGATCTTCACGGAACTGTGGGTAAACCCCTAGAAAGGTTAAAGCTGATTGATTAATCAATGTCTTTCATAGGGTCAAAAGCCGTTTGTATGACACCTGACATGACCTCCCAGTACAACTGGTCAGATCTTCATGTAGTGTAAGCCGATTCCTCTGCCCCCTCTCCAAAAAATCCATACGCGCATGTGAATTATTGAAATATAATTGAACCAAGTGTTAGTCCCGAAATGAACAATTATGTGAAATTTACAAAGAGCCAAATTAAATCTAAAAGGCGTATGTAGTAGTCATTTTTGGTGTATTTAAGGAAATTCATTATTAATATTAATTATGCAAAATATATGTAAACAGGGAAGGGATTGCGGGCGAATTCTGATATTTTGAAAGTGAATTCCGGTGTTTATATGTTTTTAAAAGTAAATTCCGGTGATCATCGGTGTTTTTAAGTTATTTATTATTAATATTAATGCAAAATATATGTACAGAGGTAGGCCTTGGGGTCAAATTTTGATATTTGCAAAGTGAATTCCGGTGATTTAGTATCCGCTCAAAATCTAAACAAAACAACTCGACGCAGCCAAATGTTGACAACTGCTTTGCTTCTTTCAGCTGACGGCAAAATTCGTAATTTTCAGTTACCTGCACTAGTAACACGTTAAACTTACATATCATATTAATTTTTTTTTTCTCAAAATATTTTTTTACTGTTGATTTTTTATTAATGAAATTTCCAAAAACTCTACTGCAAACTGACCTTTTGAACTCTAGCAAATTCAAATTTGAAACACAGAATTTCACACGAAACGAAAGTTATCTATTTTTCAGTTATTTTCAATATTAAGTCATTGTAGTTATCTAATGTTGGCCTACCATGCCCAAAAATATTCACATTTGGTTAAATGTGCCGGAAGGACATATTGCCGAAAACACTGCAACATTAAGTATATAAAATTATATTTCGTTTCGAGTAAAATTTATAGGAAGATAGGCACAAAGGGTTAAATCTAATTAATAAGGACAACTTCAAGTTTGGCCAAAGGTCACGAGATGTAAACAGGGTTAACGCTAATCTCAACCCTAACCCTTACCCTGGACCTAGCCCTAATACTTAATCTAACCCTAACCAACAATCACACGCTCTACTTATTACATCTCAGCGACATCGACGAGAATTGAGTTGACCTTAAGAATAAGATCTAGCCATGGCAAATCTAGTTTCATTTTGTTAGCACAGTTTTATTTATTTGGTCACAGACCACTAAAGATTTCCCCATTCACAATGTTAATTCTCGATCGTATCTTAGACAGATGGAGCAAAATGTGGAAACCCCTTGATTTACTTCATTCTCAGCCAAGTTATCATTGTTTGTCCATAGGCGCCCCCCCCCCCCATTTTGGGCACCAAATGCTGGGAAAATTTGGGCACACAATTGTACTTTGTAAAAGTTGTATAAAAAATAGTGTGTTCTTCAATGTGTCCAATTTAACAGCGAATTTAAATTCAGAGTGTCTATAGTTAGGCAATTAAATAGAAATCTGAAGACTCATACCCTCTATTGTTTGGAGTACAGTAAGCCACGAGTTACAGTTACATAAACAACTGTTTTTAGTTGTGTATATTACAAGTTAATAAAATTTAGTTCTCTTTTAGTAATACTATTTATAACAGCGTAAGCATTTTTCATAAATCCCGGTTTTCTCATATTCTAGTAGTAAATTTATTTTATATTTTCTATCTATCAGGAAAATGGGTACAGAAAATCTGCAGACGCCTGCAAGAATCGCATAAAGAATATGAAGCATTCTTATAAAAAAAATAAAGGACCACAACAATAAAAGTGGGAGTGGCAAGAAAACTAGCAAGTTTTTTGACGCTATGGATAAAATATTAGGAACCAGACCCGCTACCCGTCCAACACATATTCTGGAGACAAGTATTAATTCAGGTAAGCGAACATGTTATTGTTATTATATTGTCAGGAGCAAGACTAAATCGATGCGATAGTTGGCAGGCAATATAAGCCTACAAACATGGGATCAAACTCACATATACACACAAAACAAATTAAATCAAATTTTTTTGCATAATAGCCATTGGAGAATTAGTGTTTTAAAATCAAAACTTATGGAAATTATATAATGGTATTTTTTTTTTTTTTTATAGAAACACAAGATTTGGATGATTTTGATGATGATGATAATGATGAGGAACCAACAAGAGTCAATTTGGAAAATGAAGAAAATGAGCCTACAGAAACCGTCCTCCGTAAACAGCCAGAAAAAAAAGGTTCAGTTGCTATTTATTCTAAATGGTTATCAATATTTGAAAAGAGTACAACACTGGAGCTGCTTTCTGTCTAAGAACGTGGTAAACCGGTCACTAATTCCTTCTGTGATTCAATATAAATTTTAAAAAATGCTAGAATAACATCCCACTGAAAACTAGCTGTACGTATAGATGAGTGTTGTGCAGGACAAATGGTATGTTTACTGGTTATAAAGTACACGGAACATTTGATTTTGTATCCCAATCAAATTAGAAAATGAAATGAAATGGGGTTTAACGTCCTACTCTTCTGCACCTAACCTGGGCTAATTGAAGACGGGCATACGCCATACAGTGTGCTATGAGGGAAATTTTGCCCGGGCAGCGGCGCTACGGCCTACTCTTATATCGAATTCCAACTGCCAAGGGATCTTTTAAGTGCATGCCAATGTGTACACTGGACCTCGGTTTTTCGTCCCATCCGAATGACTAGGCAGCTGTCCTTGTCAGGCCCTCCGTTCTGCATCACTGACAAAGGGAAACCACGCCGGAAAATCGAGATGAACTTTCTCGGCCAATGCAGGGATCGAACACCCGACCTCCAGGCTAGCGAGCCAGCGTCTTACCCACTTAGCCACGTGATCCCCCCAATCAAATTAGAAATTATAGGTGTTCAAAAAAGTCATACCTGTGACAACGCCCTTAACTACTTTATATAGCTATTATTTACCTAAAGAATTTTGTTTATGATTTTAATACATAATAAGATCGAATTCAAAATAGTGTAGCCATGAATAGGTAAAACAAAACAGAAGAGTGACTTAATAAGGTGTATACCTATATGGAAATAAAATGCAGGACTTGAAATGTTCTCTGACAGGTAGTAAGTAGGTGGACTAAATTTACTAATGTTCAGGAAATTGACTCCAGACCACAATAGGCCTACTCATTATGATGTCACATTTATTTCATTATTCCTTTACAATATGGTTATTTTTGGTACATGCCTGACCTCCAGGGACAGAACCACGCCCAATTATTGTATAAGAACTTTAACACACCATCCACACAAGTTTTCATCTATAGCATTTTGAAGTATCTACACAGAAGTACATGTGTAACGGCACCATGGTAAATATTGTGGTTGTTTTTGGATAATTAAGAGTGACAGGTTAGTTACTGAAGGGATATTTCGAGGCCCGAATTGTCAATCATTGTTCATTTATTTAAACATTAAAGAGTTATTTTATTTACTTACAGGACCAGAAAAGAAAAAAAGAAACAGAGAGGATATAATTCAACGTGTTCTGAATGAGACAACAACCAGCTTTATAAATTGTCAAAGAGAACAAGAAAGATCATATTTTGAATTCGAAGAAAAAAGAATGAGAATGGAGGCAGATTCATAGAGACTTAGAAAAGAGCAGAGACGGGAGGATCGACTTAGAGCTGAGGAACAACGACGCGAGGATAGGGAAAGAGATAGGCAACATGAATTAAGATTATGGAGTTTGTTTGCCAATCAGGGATTTCAGCAGCATCAATTTTCTCAACAACAAAATGGACATGTTCCGCAGCCACAATTTTTACAAGGAGCTAATGGACACACATATACAAATTTATAAAACCATATTATTTTCAAGACCTATCATTTTGTGCCAAAAGTTCTGCTATGTAGAGCATTTATTTTCATTGATAACAGTTAATTTTTGTTTGTAGAAATACATAGTTTTATTTATCATTCCATTGTGCCAAGGCTAGAGTTTTAATAAATTAATTTCCATGTTTTAATTATTAATATCCATATCATTTAACTTAATGTATCATGAAGCTGAATCATATTATTTTCAAGATATACCATTTTGTGCCAAAATATCTGACATGTAGCGCAATTATTGTCATTGATAACAGTTTATTTTTGTTTCTACAAATACATGAATTTTATTTGTCATTCCATTTTACCATGGCTCAAGTTTTAATAAATTTATTTCCATGTTTTAATTATTAATATCCATATCATTATCAAATGTGTCATGAAGCTGATATATGTACTTGGTTGTGAAAGTTAACTGTAGTTGTAACACGTTTTATGTGATTTCAGTTTTTATGAATTTAAATTACCAGTATGAGATTAATTGTTTCAATGGCATTTAGCAATTGAACTGGGAATACACAGGACAATCCTTGTTTATATCTAAAGCAAAGTTTTGACTTGGCTTCTTATCGTTATCAAATAATGCGAAACGGTATGAGGTGGGTGTTTTCTTCTTTGTAAGTCAATTGATAAGCCCCTAATAAGAACAAAACAGTCTGTTATGTTTTCAAAAATGGTAAATTCTCTTTTATTTAAATTGATCAATAACTTTATAGTGTAGGCTTGTACAGTGGACTCGGAATATTCCGAATTATTAGACCAATCTGGGGACCCCCGTTAAACGATTTCTGTTGAATTAACATTGGATAATCCTGCCTTCAATCAGTGGGTGTTAACCGACAAGCAATCAATTATCGGTGAGCTTAAAGTATGTGTCAGTCTTTGTTAATAAAACCTTGATAATTTTATAATTTCTTGTAAGAGAGTGCTTGGTATTTCATTTGATTTTTTCACGTCAAATACAGCAACATTAAATATAAATTGCTGAGATGAAGAATCACTATCATTATAATATTTTGTTCATAACGACGCACAAGTGTTTTGTACGCACCCAAAGTAAAAACATAATAATTTTATATAATAAAGTTTCAAATGTACAGAAAGGTTTATCATATTTTTAAGTTCTGGGTATTCGAAGGTGCATTAAAATAATACTTTGGTATTCGAGGTACAATAATACTTGCGGTTTTGAGACAATTAAGTATTCCGTCATGGTGTATAATCCGGCATTGTATCGGTCCTGTACAATGTTGAAAGTGAAAGAGTCCACTGTATATTTTTAATTACATACACTTCTTCAATGATGGACAACAAAGATGACAATTGGACCTCTTATTATATAATCCAACTCTGGCTTAATGAGATGCATGGATCAAAAATCAAGATGCCAAAAGGTGTCAATTTAAATTCTGTATCCAAATACCTTTAAATTAGTATGTGACTTAGAAATATGCTTGGAATATTTAAATTTGAATGTACCATAATATTACTTTTAAGAAAGAAGATATTGAAAATTTTGGAAACAAATTGAACTCCATAGCAACCATTTGGCCAGAGCTGATCACATATATAGTTATAATAGACCCACTGTGTTATAAGATTATCAGTTATTTTTCTGTTGTATGATTTTTATTATGAAAATAAACCAATTTAGTTTGACCATTTTTTAGTTTTCTGCAAACACACAAAATGAAACAATAAAAGTAAACAAAAGATGGCATATACACATAGAAATTCTTTGTAGTGAGTGTATGTAACAGTATGGCCAATTATTACTTTCTTAATTATTTGTTTTGTAAGGTTAAATTATTCCTGGAAGTATTCAGCCAGGATATTTCTAATGTTAGTGCAGTCTGCATTAATTGCCTCTTCGTTACTTTGATTTGGCTGAGGCATTTAGTTTTCTCCCTTTGCTACATCCTCTAGCCATTCAACCCTAAATGGGTCTTTTGCTTGTTCGCATATGTTATGAAGTATGCAACAGGTCATAATAATATTGGGGACCTTGTCAACATTCATATCATATTAATAAGCAGCGCCAGCGACCTTTTAGGCGACCAAAGGAATTTTCTACCGTCATGCGTGAACTACTTAGCTTATAATTAAATGTCTTTTGTTTTTGGGTCAGGTATCCATTGTCTGTGTATGATACAGCGATCATAAAATGCAAAATAGCCTACCTGTCGCTCAACAGATATTGGTTCCCTCATACTTGTTACCTGTTTCTCAAGAAATGGTCTCAAAATTCTGCACAGATATTCAAATGTACATTTTGACATTCTGAAGTTTTCTAAATACTGTATATCATCATAAAAGCTGAAAATAAAATGTAAAGGAATAAGATTAGGTAAATAATTAAACTTAAAGTAGTCAATATCATCCAAAATCTGCGACATTGAAAACACAAAGTATTTGTCAATTTCAATCAACATTGATCTTGTGATCTTAACGGGGAAAAGATGGGTTTCTGATATCCAATATTTGAGACAAAACAAACATTTAACCATTGGTACACGAATTGTGTAATGCATTTCAGTGTCATTTGTAACAAGGGACTAGAAGAACGAGGCTAGACATATTCCCACAAGTCATATTCTTATCTGGAGAGCATGCACAATAAATACTATCAGTGTAGACTGGAATTACCAGTTGCTAGACATTGCCATTCGATTTAGACATCTAGAGTATTTCAACGAATATAACTAATTAGAAATTATGTGTTGCGACCCATTTGTGTCAATTTCTAGATCCCAAATATTAACAATTTAGCTCTTTTAAGCATGCAACTATTATTATTCGAAATTAAAAATTGTCTATATGGCACATATAATAGCACAGGCCTATTTGTGTGAAGATTGTTTTGTTTTTTTAGGTTGTTTTTTTTTTTGGGGGGGGGGGGGGACGTTATATTTTCTATAAATATTTAATTGATGACCCCTTGGTTAATATTTGTTTTATACACCTTGTCCGTGTACATATTTGGCTACATTATAATGATTATAAATTTTAAAACAATATATATGAATATATCAAACCAAACCTGTATGCGTGATTCCACCAATTGCCACTGTGATACCGTGACCATATTCTCCTGTTGGTTGGCATGAATATCACAGAAGTGACACTCATTAGCATCAGAAAGAAGTACCTTTGTTGACTCTGTCGTTGTCTAAATTGTTTAATTCTATGTCTCAAAGCATTAGTATTCATTTCTAGGAAATGTGTATAAACTATCCGAGAGTAAGAGAAACAAATTTCGCGGATTTTTTTTCACAGGATGTTTACATATTCTACCAGGAAATGGTATGTACGCATGCATAGTTAACTCTAACCTCCGACCGAAGAGGTCAGAATAGTTAAACAGGTTTGACTTATAGTACGTGTGAACGCAACACGACGCTGTCTTAAAAACCCCGGCGATTTTGAACTGGTTTAAAAATAAGCGTCTGAACGGGGTATTAGTCAAGTACATGCGTGAACCGAATCCACGCCAATTGACTCTATGGTAGACGTTACTCACTGAGCCACCGCGACTCCCTTGATATTATAATACTTGATATAATATCAAGGTTAATTTACGTCCGCTTCCATTGAGATGATACGGTAATCGAGTAGTTTCCTAGTAAGATTGGGCGTCTAAACTTTTCATATATATCATGTCATACTTTTACTGGAAATAACCACCTGATAAATACATTTGTGACAATGTATCTTTAATATCCTTGTGGTTGAAGCGAATATTTAGTTGAGAGATTAATTCTCCAAATATTGCTTGGGGTTGCGTGACCGAATGGTTAACGCGAGCGCGTTAGATCATAAGGTCTGTCATTGAGTCAAATGGCATGGTTTCGATTCCCCACTTGTACGTGACAAGACGTAGTGTCCAACCTCATAAGTTTTCACCGGGTTTTGCGGTTACCTCCCACTTCTAAAGATCCTTAAGCGAATCCTTTACATAAAACAAACCATGTTAGTCCCGAAATCTCCCTTTCTGTAAACCGAAATGTTTTCGGGTATTTCAGATTCTGCCCTTCTAACATTCATCGACCCCCCACGCCTCTCGCTGACAGGGATCCCGGACAAGTGGGATGTGACCCTGGGCGTTCTAGTTGAGTTTTTTTTAACACCGTCGACATATGATATTTCTCTAATCCATCAATTAATTAGCCTGCACGTGTACAGGTCTTTAGCACGACGGTGGCCAGTAATAAGCCGGGATCGAACCCACACCAATTGATTCAATTAAAGCGGACGTTAACCTAATCGTCCCCCTATTGACTCATCCTGGGTTGGCAGTGGTGTAGGCCTTCAGACCTGGCAAGAAAAAAGGTGTAGTCATTCGGATGGTACAGAAAACTGAGGTCCCGTGCAGAACCCTTGACATAAAAGTAGGCCGTAGCGTCGTTGACTGGTTAAATTTCCCCTCATAGCGCCTTGTGTGTGGCGTATGTCCGTCTTTGTTAACCCAATCGGGGCAGAAGACAAGGGCGGGTATTATAGACTTGATGATACTTGATATATTTGATACTTTAAAAAATGGGAGCCGCCGTGGCTCAGTTATTCGTTGACTAGGGGCAAGTGGTCCAATCCCGTTGTTGATTTCGAAAGTTCTCTGTGATTTTCCGGTGAACACTTTGACGTACATTTGACAGTTGGAATTCGATATAAGAGGAGGGCGTAGCGGCTTATGCCCGTCTTCATTATCCCAGTTGGAGCAAACTCGTAACAGGTTAAATCTCATTTTACTCCCTTTAATTTCATGTATGCAAACTGGTACATAGAAGAGGTTGATTTATGACATCATGAATCACATCGATATTAACTGAACAAAAACAAGCATATTTGCATTTCATTAAAACAGCGATTGATTATGTTTACTTTTATATTTACTTTTATATTTACGGTCACTTTTATCATGGTCTTCAAGTCAATGAAACACGCCACACCGCCTGGTTAGGTTAGGGCGCCGCGGTGGAAATGTTTCAGAGACAATAAAACAGAGGTCGGATTCAATTTAAAGATAAATTTATTTTCCTCAACAACCCAGTATTTTAACTAAACAGGCCCGGGATTTCCCCACCAACCCAATATTTTAACTAAACAAGCCTGGGGTTCCCCGCCAACCCAGTATATTTATTAAATAATCACAGGGTATCCCCCACCATCCAGCACTTTAACTAAACAATCCGGTGTTTCCCCCACAAACCCAGCAATAAAAGCACTATCAATAATCGGTATTTGGAACTTGTGGTATATTCTACTGATATCTTTCCGCTACTCTTGGCCTTAAATCTCTCCACCAACTCAGCATCTTGATTAAATAAGAACGGGTTTTCCCCACCAATCTAGTATTTGAATATAATAAGCAATCAACCCAGAAAGAGCTAAATCTCTATTCTGTGGCACCCAGTAATGGACACAAATAGATCGCAACAAATAATAATGTATTATGAATATATATAACCTGATTTACATTCAATCGTTTCTATTATACTGTAATTTATAATCAGTTATGTTTGGCGAAATACGCGAAGGGTCTGAATTTAAAAGGTGATATTCTTCTACGTGGGATATATTAAGTCTCCTTCATCGAGTCCCTTAATGCAAATGGTACCCGAAGCATTCTACACGCAATTCAAGTGCCAATGTTAATATTTTCATTTTGACTGAAACATCAATCGTTTCTGTTTGCATTGTCGAAGACTGGATGATATTGAGTTAGTTAGCGACTTGACTCCTTCAATAAGCACGGGGGTTTCGTCATCCATAATTTCATCTAGATAAGCACTGTCAATGATCAGTATTCAGGACTTGTTGCCCTACACCTCGCCTTATATCTGTACGTGGTTAATTTGTTGTGAAGAGCTTGATTAATGGCCACATTCTTGTCCTTTGACATTGCTACACAGTAATCTGAAATGATTAACATACATTATAAAATGGCCATTGTTTCAGTCTAGTTGGCTAATATGTATTAGGTATGGGCTGGGTAACCCCACACTGTAAAAAATATCCATTTTTAATGTGAGCGAATTCAGTAGTTTAGCACCTTTTTTTGTCAATTGATAACTTTTTTGGAGAAATTGTGTTAATAGTATGAATTATTTCTTCAAATTACGTGTTTTATCTATTTCAGTGGAATATTCAATATTAAACAGGAAATTTCCGTGACATTTAGGGAACAATGTTTTATTCCCTTCTATAATGGACTTAATTCTGTTATTTTACGGAATAAATGGTGGAATGACCAGGAGGTTTCGTGAATATTAGGGATATAATGTTTTATTCCCTTCTGTAATTCTGTTATCGGTACCGATAAGTAATCGTATACATATATAATCATTCCTAATAATTATCATGTTAAAGTACTCATTTCAATATATTAACCATAATATGAAGAATCATATTTTGTACCGTTTGGTATATTAATTTGACATGTATATCTAATTTCCATTATTTATAAGATCTATAAAGTTTATTGTTATTCATCATACGGTAATCAGATTGTAAGTATTTTCATAAATGTGTAAAAATATGTTTTAACGCTGGGTGTGTGAAAAGGTAGTATCTGGTAATCAAGCACGCTTGAATCTGGATAGTATAACCGGTTGGCCAGTGTAAGTCGGTTTGTCTCTATGACAGCGTCTACATACCTGCAA